CACAACATGGCGAAGAGAGGACCCGGATTCGGTTTGCCTGATTGGTAGGGCTTGTAAGCACCTGTGGGCAACTCTAGCAAGCAGAGCAGAATGTGTGCCGCGAGGCACCAAAGACAGGCGCGTATCAACGCCAAAAAAAATAAAAAGAAAGGGGGATCTGTGGGGAGCAACTGGGAGCAACATAATGGTGCCGTGACTCGGATATGAAGCCTAGGCAGGGTTTAGTGTCGTTCCTCCATGAAGAGGGGGAGCGACAATACTGTGGGGAGCAAGGACACGGTCCTTTCCCATGGGAGTTTACACTTGATGGAGAAAAACAGATAATTAACCACCATTTTGCCTCTTGACTCCTTATGGAGCCTGATGAATTCCAATCATGATGAGAATTGTCAAGGGCAATTAACTGAGATGCAAATAGAGATTAAGACTTTGGTGCTTCGTTCCAGATGTCAGGGCAGGTATTGTACATGTAACAACAACAACATGTCAGGCACCTCTTTCAGTGGTTTTCACATATTAACTCATAGCACCTGTGATACAGGGACTATTATGATTCCCATTTTAGAGACCAGAACACTGAGGCACGCTGAGAATAACGTGCCAGGAGCCACACAGCCATCAAGTGGCAAAGAAAGAACGCAGGCATTTTGAGCAAAGGGTCTGTGTGCTCTATCCTGCCTCTCATAATTCTGTTTTCCGGTGTGAGCCTTGCAGCAACCCAGCAAGTACAATTGTCCTCTCTCATCCCTGATTTTACTTCTCATTGTTGCAACTGCAGTCTGAAAATATTATGTGGAAAGTTCCAGAACCAAATATGTAAATTTTAAGTAACTTTGATTACAGTGTATTGTTAATAATTGTTTTATGTTATTATTGGTTGTTGTTGTTCATCTTTGTGCCTAATTAGCTAACGCTTCTCATAGGTGAGCATGGAGAGGAGAAAACGGAATACATACACATATGGCTCAGTACAACCCATAGCTTCAGGCATCCACTGGGCGTATTAGGAGATACTCACCACAGATTGGGGCACCACACCATGTAGCCATTCTCACTTTCCAGATTTGTACATAGAAACAAAACATGGAAGTGACTGACTTGAGTTCTTGAGTTCACATAGCAGGAGCTGGTGGAATGGAATGGGATCCGCACTGTGCCTGCTGTGATCACACAAGAGCTTTGCCGAGTGCTGAGCCCCAGAGAAGGACCCGTGGTCCTTCCATGGCTGACTGTCTTCTCTTTGCACAGAAGAGGGAAAGCTCTAAGCCAAGAGCATCGGCAGCAGGAGGCTCTTGGCGTCCATCCTTGCATGCCCGTGAGCCTTGAAGAGGTCCCCAGCTCCTGCAGGCTGGGCAGTGAGGGTGGTGACTGTGGAATAACTCTTGGTCCTCCAAAGTCACATGTTCTGGGGATGCCTGATCCTGTCTGATGTGCGTCTAACTCTTGTAGGATGCCTGGAGCCAGGATAAACGTCTTTCTGCATGCAAGAGTAGGGTCATGACTCTCCCCTTCGCTGCAGGTCAGAGGGCACCCCACCGTGGGAAGGTTGTCTCCTATGGGGTTCTGCCTGGGTTTGCAGTTCCTCCTTCTGACTTCACTGCAAGGCCTCACGTTCCTGCCTACCGGAGAGTCTCCTCTAGAATTTTCCCAGGGGCTCCCATGAGCTCATGGGCTTGAGGAGGCCCACAGCTCACAAAGAGAGCTCTTTCACAGGAAATTCCTACTATTTCCCTTGGAACTGATGCACTGAAAAAATTGCCTCAGGGGGCCACCATTGTGATATAGTGGGTAAAGCCACCACCTTCAGCACTGGCATCCCATATGGGCATTGGTTTGAGTCCCAGCTGCTCCACTTCTGATCCAGCTCCCTGCTAATGCACCTGGGAAAGCAGTAGAAGACAGTCCGAACCCTTAGGCCCCTGCACCCACGTGGGAGACCTGGAAGGAGTTCCTGGCTCCTGGCTTCAGACTGGCTCACTCCCAGTCATTGTGGCCCTTTGTGAACCAGTGGATGGAAGACCTCTCTCTCTCTCTCTCTGTCTCTCTCTCCCTATCTCCCTCTCTCTCTAAAAAATAACATAAAATTCTTTTAAAAATCGCTTCATCTGTTTTCTGAAGTAACTTTCAGGAGGGCATGGTTAGTAAGAGTGGCAGGGTTGCAGAAGTCCCTTTTGACTTCCTGTTCTATGCCAGGTGGCTCCTCTGGATGGCTCTGGATGTCCCGGATCCTGAGTCTTTGCATCCACACTCTCGTGCTGTGGGTCCAGAGGATTTGCTCTCCCCTCAGCTGGGGGTGGGAGGGAGTTCTTAGGCTGGCACTCCTAGAGGATGTGATTATGGTCTGGAGCCCCTGCCGCTGCTTCTGAGTGAGCTCTACCTTCCCTCCCCATGGATGTGCAGCGCCTGGGAAGCTGCCACATCCCCTCTGGAGACCTTGAGGGAGTCGGACCATGAGGAGTCAGGATCAGGGTGTCTGAAGGGATGGGATGTGTGTGTGGACAGCCTTGACTCTGGAAAGGATCCCCACTCCCCAGTTTAAGCCGTAACTCCCTAAGAAGCTCTGATGTAGAGGCTGAGGTGGTGAGTGGTTCCTAGAGGACAGAAGGAGCTAGGAGGATGACGAGACAGGGTGGCTCAGTCCATCAGGACTAGTGCTTGCTTGTCTCCTAACAGAGACATTTCAAGGAAGGCAGTTACTCTGAGGTTGGGGCCCGGAAGGAACCCTACACTTAACAGGAAGAAAGAAGGGAGGGCTACAGTGTTTTGAAGGCTCTGATGAGAAGTTCCCATCTCGTGGTTCCCAGTTCCTCTGTTCACAATGACTCAAACACATCTGCGGAGGGAATGGAGATGGACTCAGACTGAGAAGTGCAGAAAGTTTAAAACGTATTGGAGCAGCATGGGAAAGACAATAGACTAAGGAATGTAATGTATTTTGTTCACTGTGGGAAAGCGTAGGGTAGTTAGTCGTTTGTGGAATGTGTGAGTTATTTTCACATAGTCGTGGAGCTCACCAGGAATTTACTGCGGTACCAGTACCCTTGACTGTGAGATTTCATCCAGTAGTGATTTCTGACTTATAGGAAGGCTCTTCTTTAAAAGACAGAGATAAGATGTTTGGCCGGACAGGAGAAAGAAAGGGGGTTGGCTCATTTCAAATGAAACTTCTTAAATATTGGTTACCTGAGATACGATGATGTCTTCCTGGAAGTGGAGAAAATGAAGACCAGAGCTTGGTGAACAGACAACTAAGTGGGAAAACTACTGACCCAGGGTAAAGAAATTAACACAGTGAGTGCACATGCTGGAAGGATGGGGGCGAGGTCAAAGTGTGGGAGGCTGTGCTGTGCTGTTCACATGGCAGAGGTGGGAAGTTCTAGGTCACGGCAGTAACCCACCTGCAGTAGAAGTACAGTACCTTAGGATGGGACAAGGGAGGAACTGGGAGGCCGGGTTACTGACTGCACTTTCCACTTGGACCCAGGGGTCCTCCACTCATTCCCCACCATTTGATCACCCCACAACCTCTCTAGAAACTGCGTTATTTCTGCACTGCAAGATCAAAGGTGCAACTGTGGACAGGATGGCAGAAGTATGATAGAGTGAGGGGGTTGGAGTGGACATTTTCTGTGTTTCTTGTGACAGAGTGTGTGTGTTTTCCTGGGAAAAACATTGTTCCAGAATCTCAACTGCTAGATAAGGAGACTCACCCCATTTTTAGTCCCAATAGTACGAGCATAGTTACTGTCACTCGTGGTCTCTATTTTCACAGTGATTATGCCCACAGTTTTGGCCAGAAATGACCTCTGTGAAGGCCCATTGTGAACTCCCAAAGGTCTGTAACCCTGGCATGCAGTCCTGAACTCACCTCTGGATCCTGAGCTGCAGGTGTTCTGGGGTAGATCTGCCAAGGCTCCAGCAAGCCCATGAAGATCCAAGGTGTCAGCTGTGCCCTAACAGATGAACTGGATGTATTAAGGGTGAAATCTTGCCATCTAGCATCAGTGGAAGGATGAAACCAGATTACCTTCCTTTAAAAAGCCGTGCCTGACAACAGCCCTGCAGATAATTTTAGTGGCTAAATAACAGCCTCATGCACAATTCTACTGTTTTGGCCTTGGTAAGCTCTGCAGTGCCCAGCTCAGCATCAAGGAAATGGTGTCTGAGTCAAATTGAAAATGGGAGAGCGGGGTAGGAAAGATCAGGAGGCGGAGGTGGAGGAGCATAATCTTTAGTTCCTCCAGCAGGTTTGTCCTTTACCTTCCTTGTTTTTGGATTATTTGCCCCCTTGTTCTACTCATCTCTTCCTCACACTCAGCTTCGTCTTGGGAGGTAGGTGTCCACCTGATCCACATTCCTAACACTGATAGCCGATGACCCTTTTATGATGAGACAAATCCCATTCATCCTAGCAGCACGAAGAAAGAAGCCAAGGGTAGGGAATCACATCCCAAATACAATTTTCCTAACCTCAATGATAAGGTCAAAGTATGCTTCCCAAACACATTATCATGCCCTGTATTACAGAAGCGTAAGGATCATCTCCTCTGATCCTAGAACCCATACACAAGTAGCCCTGTGTTCAGTGCAGCAATACCCCACCCCCCCCGATACTCCCAACTGGAGGTTCACTCACTGGCGTGACCTCTGGTGACAAGTCTCTCAAATATTACTGAACCACTGTGTTCTGGAAAAATACATCTGCCATTGGCTCTCTTTGGATATGGAAAACCTGTCTTGTTTATTGTGCTAAAGGATAAAAACAGCCCGTGAGGACAGAGATGCAGGCAGCCATATAATGTGTATTAAAGAGCTTGAAGTTGAGAAAAAAGGTCATCTCCAATTTCATCAGTGAGGAAAGAGGCTTTTTTAAAACACATCCTTGGTACTTGGTCACCTTTCAGACACTCCCAGAGGTGAACAGTAAGGGCTTAGCTGGCTTCTTCCTTTCCCTAAGCAGAAACCCTGTGATCCCGGAAGTCCACACCCCCAACAGAAGTACACAGAAAAGATATCACTCTCACTTGAGAATATTTATTAGGAAGAATCAATATTTTCAACAAGGTATTAAAGATTTTAGGGAGGCAGATTTCCTCCTTGAAAACACTGGAGATGAATTTTTCTGTTTAAAAGGTAGAGACAAATCTCTCAACAACTTTTGCAGTGGCAGGGGCAACCCAAGGCACCTGGCCAACTTGACACCTCTAGGTGGGGCTTGGGCGTGGCACAGGCTTCCTCTGGGACACAGCCAAGGGAGGCCTCTGATACCATGGCTGGTCCTTAACTGGCACAGATTTCTGGGACTCTCTGTGTTTCCTGTGTGCATTCCTTGCAGGATAACTCTGGCCAGCAAACGCAGCTTCTTGGCTGCAGGACTTGATACTTGTCCCTTTACAAGATGTTGTCCTCTGGTTGGACTGATGGCCCTGGACAGGCACTACCCTAGTCTGCAATTTTGCCTGGTGCTGAGTTTTGCCAAACTTCACCTGGGTGGAAAGGGGCTCTTGGTGGTTGGTCTTACCTGTTCTGGGATCAAGCCCCAGCTTCTCCCCTGGGACATTCCCACTGGCCGTCTTGACTTGCTGAGGCTCAGAATTCCAAGTGAAGGCAGCTAGATTTTTAGCTAGGCCCATCCTCTGCACAGATGATAGGGTACTGCCCTTTCCCAGAAAACTCTCTGGCTCTTCACGCTTTCTGCTAGGCCAAATCCATTGTAGAAAGTGCTTTATTTGTTTTCTGAAATGGCTTTCAGTAGGAGGTTGCCCCTCCACCGACAGGGTTGGGGAAGATTTACTCCCAAGATTTGCCTTTAAGGTACCATCTGGAGCGCCGTGGATCCTCCTTCTGGGTTGGGATGACCCTGGTCCTGCATCTCCTCCACCAAGCTCTTCTGTTTGGGGTTCTGGAAGGCTTACTGTCTTTGAACCTGGTGTGAGATTCTTATCCTGGTCCTTCCATAAGGCACACACAGGGACACAGGGCTCCTGCATCTGCTCCCTGTGGATCGCTGCATCGTCAACATGAACATGCAACACCTGGGAAGGTGCTGTGTGCCAAGTGCAGATGCCCCGGGCGTGAGTCAGGACAGGCTTAGATTTCAGGTCCTCTGATGCAACGGACGGGTCAGTGGGATGGCTGCAAGCCTGGCGATGCTCCCTGCTCTCTAAGTCACAGAGCAGAGAGAGTTTAGGATCTAGGGATTCTGATATTGGTGGGGAATGTTCAGTGGGCAGGGTAGCTCCTACCTTACCCGAAGTCACACCTGTCATTGGGGAGATTTCTGACTTGTTGCTGGCCAAGATGTAACTACATGGAGATGGGAGAACACAGAGCTCCCTTGATATGAGTATTCCCCTGGATTTCTTACGCATGGGAAAATGTTCCAAATTCATCTTTTTGCCCTGAAGCCTTTTTATTCTTTTTCTAGAGTTCCATTGCTTACAGCTTGGTTTTGATCCAGCTCTATCTTCCCTTGTGAACACCACTGGGCTGCATCTATTGCCTAGTGCAGCCTGTTTCTGTCTTGCTTTGTCTGTGATGTTATCCACACAAGGCTGTCTACAATCCTTGAATCTCTGAATGTTATCTATTCGCCCATGGGGGCTATCACAGGGGGTTTGCCTCAGTGTCCCCTGAGGGACAGGTGAGGTGGAAGGGAAATGCTGATCCAGACTAGGAACAGAGATTCTTGTTCTCACCTTGTCTTCATGCAAAGCTATGGGGCTTCCTCCACAGGGCCTGCACACAGGTGAGCTGGCAGGGGACTGCTGCTCCAGACAGGGGAAAGAGATTCTTGCTCTCACATTGTCTCCGTGCAAAGCTATGGGGCTTCCTCCACAGGGCTTGCACACAGGTGAGCTGGCAGGGGACTGCTGCTCCAGACAGGGGAAAGAGATTCTTGCTCTCACATTGTCTCCATGAAAAACTCTGGCGCCTCCTCCACTGGGCCTGCACACAGGTGAGCTGGCAGGAGGTTGCCGTTCCAGACAGGGGAAAGAGATTCTTGTTCTCACCTTGTCTCCATGCAAAGCTAGAGAGCCTCTTCTATAGGGCTTGCACACAGGCGAGGTGACACGAAAATGATGATCTCGACTAGGGACAGATGTTTTTCTTCTCACTTTGTCTCCATGCAAAAACATGGAGCTTCCTCTAACGGGTCTGGAGACACCCACTTGGGAATTAGCCATGGGAATAAAGCTGGTTGAGGAGGGAAGGTTGGGTGGGCAAACGCTCTGGGATGGCTCCTCTTTCATTTTGAAGAATTCTATGGTTTCAAGGACTTTTTCAGGAAGGCCCCACATTATCCTCTCAAGATAATTTTGTATATGGTCTTCCAGCATCTTCTGCTGGCTGGAACCAAGGAAAGAAAGCTCACAGGAGGTGTTGATGTTGCTGTCTACACTCGCCACTGGGGCCAAATCTTTGCTATCCACTTGACTACAGGATTTCTCAGGAAGAGGCCATGGCTGCCTAGTAGAATACAATGAGTTATATACGGTCCTAGGAATGTGACTCTCATGGATTTCCACAACTTTCTTGTTAAAATGGGCTTCCAGGGCATTGGTAAGTTTTTTCTGATTTCGGCTTATTCCTGAGGCCCTTGAATTATCCCCCGACAGACACATGAGGTGACCTGCTGGGTCTTCCTCAGAATCATACCATAGACCCTCTCCTGAGCACCTCTCTGAGTCGCTCATCAGATGACTGCGTGAACCGCTGTCCCGAAAATGTCCCTGGGACTTCCTTACATCATTTCCCAGAGGAAGCATTTCCAAGGTCTTCTTACTGAAGCTTCCAGGTTGGCTCAGTCTCAAATCCTTTGCGTATCTGATGCTGTGATCCTTAAACAAATAGGCCCCTGAGGGTCCCCGATGGCTCTTTGACTTGGGTGTCCTCGAAATGTCACTCCGAATGTTAACGCGTGACAGAGACTCACAGACCCTGCGGGGCAAGCCACACTGGTTTTGCATGATCCTGTTTTGAAGGTGGTGTTCTAGCTTCTCCTGAACCTCACTGCTCAGGCGAAAATCTCCAGGAAGGATGGAGATCGGAACATGGGCCTTGAAGCGCTGGCTCGCCAAGGCCAGGTTTGGAGCCGGAGGACAAAAAGCTCCTTGAGACATAAGGACCACGGAGGGTATACCCCACAAATTTTCATGCTTTTTCTTCAACAAGTGATGTTCCAGGTATTGAATTTCAGATGGTGTGAGAGACTCTGCCTCATTCTGCAGTCCAAGGAAATGCACTCCACAGGTATTTTTCTGAGGTGGAGGCAAAGGCAGCAGGATTGGGAGAAAGGACTGAGGTTGGTCCTCCCTGAGAAGTTGGGATTGAGGTTGGGGCACAGCTTGAGACAGCAGTTGAGTTTGGATCTCAGGCTCCAACAGAGGTTGGGGTTTGGGAAATGCTGGGGATTCCTGGGCTTGGGGAGCAGGAAATACTAGATATCTCTGAGCTTGAGGAGCAGGAAATACTAGAAATTTCTGGGCTTGGGGAGCAGGAAGTGCTGGGGGTTCCAGAGCTTGGGGCACAGGAAGTGCTGAGGATTCCTGGGCTTGGGGAACAGGAAGTGCTGAGGATTCCTGGGCTTGGGGAACAGGAAGTGCTGGGGGTTCCTGAGCTTGGGGCACAGGAAGTGCTGTGGACTCCTGAGCTTGGATAGTAGGAAGTGCTGTGGACTCCTGAGCTTGGATAGTAGGAAGTGCTGTGGACTCCTGAGCTTGGATAGTAGGAAGTGCTGTGGACTCCTGAGCTTGGATAGTAGGAAGTGCTGTGGACTCCTGAGCTTGGATGGTAGGAAGTGCTGTGGACTCCTGAGCTTGGATAGTAGGAAGTGCTGTAGACTCCTGAGCTTGGATAGTAGGAAGTGCTGTGGACTCCTGAGCTTGGATGGTAGGAAGTGCTGTGGACTCCTGAGCTTGGATGGTAGGAAGTGCTGTGGACTCCTGAGCTTGGGGAGCAGGAAGTGCTGGGGGTTCCTGAGCTTGGATAGTAGGAAGTGCTGTGGATTCCTGAGCTTGGGGAACAGGAAGTGCTGAGGATTCCTGAGCTTGGGGCACAGGAAGTGCTGTGGACTCCTGAGCTTGGGGAGCAGGAAGTGCTGTGGACTCCTGAGCTTGGGGAGCAGGAAGTGCTGTGGACTCCTGAGCTTGGATGGTAGGAAGTGCTGTGGACTCCTGAGCTTGGATAGTAGGAAGTGCTGTGGACTCCTGAGCTTGGATAGTAGGAAGTGCTGTGGACTCCTGGGCCTGGGGAGCAGGAAGTGCTGAGGACCCCTGGGCTGTGGAGGTATCATACACACTACTGAAGATGATGAAGGTTGATGAACAACCATCTGAGACAAGGCCAGCAGGGCACAGGAAGTTATGTTGCAAGGCTGGGTGGTCCCAGGAGAGCTGGATACGTTTTTCCTGTAGATGGTCCTCAAAAGTCTTAGGATATGGAGGCTGCCGGTGCATATGCAGCTCCTGTGGTTTATCTTTTCTGCTCCAGAAAGGAAGAGGGATTGCTGAGTCATTTTTATCAGGAATAGACTGTAACATTTTCCCTGAGGATTGAAGCAGAAAGTCTGGCCTCGCTTGTTTTGGAAAAGATCCTGTTTTGTTTTTCTGTTTGCTGTGTATCAGGGAATCACCCCTCTTTTTGACTTGTCTCTCTAGGAGTGCCAGGGCATCTGGGCTGATAAATAATAAATTACCAGTACCTAAAATGTTGGCTGCAGAGTCAACCCCAGTGGATTCCTTGGGTGAATGGAGGGCAAGAATACTTTGCTTGGCATCCCCTTGTGCCAAGTTTGGGGTGGACAAGTCCTTGGTATGAGCCTGATGCCAGATTTCCAATGCTGCCAGGTTAGGAGAGTGAGTATCTTTGTTTTTTGGCACGTGAGTGGACGGTCCACTAAGGCTATCCCCCTGAGTCACTGTTCCCGAGCTATGAGGTGGTGGAGATGAGGGAATGCCAAGTGGTTGCAGAGGGAAATACCCCTCTGGGAATGAGAAATCTGGGTGTAGAGTAGGCTCTGGGGGCAGGAAATCACCCAGCTTTGAGGGGGAAATTAAGTCTTCAAAGGAGGTGGCCTCGTTAGATGAGACAGCTGAACAAGGAGGTGGCGAGGACTCAGGCACAAGTGATAGTACTGGGTCTCCCAGAGCAATTGCAGAGAGGTTAGAGGAGAGACTCACTGAGGACTCGATCATAGAATCAGAGGAGGGTGAAAAACACTCCAAGGAAGCAGCATCTTGCAGGGACCCCTGGAGCAGCAGCTGCTGGATCTCGGCTGTTGTTCTGTTACACACCTCACAGGAGAGGTCTGGACACAACATGTGACGGAAAGGTGTGCTGCCATGGTGGTGGCCCAGGGAGCTGCAGGAGACAGGAGACACAAAGCTGTAGCCCGGACCACAAAGAGGAAGGAGGGCCTGCTGGGGGTTGAGGAGATCCAGATCCTGCTAGCCCTGCACACTGTCCCACATCCTTGACTTCGGAATACACTTGATAACCTCTCCCCAAACCTTAGTCACATACCCCTCCATACAACTAGGGAAGGCTTTGCACTGATAGCCTGGAATGCATTGAGCAAGCTATGAAAGGAACCAGGAAAGGGAAAGGCTCATCACCTTTTCAGAATGTAAGACAGCTTCCTTCTCTCCTTCTCTCTCTTCCTTCTCTCCTCTGCTTCTCTCCTGTGAGGTCTCCAACCTGGGAAGCCAGGAGAGTGGGTTATATGTAGTATGCATGTGCACAGAGTTCCTATAGATGTTCCTTTATGGGAGCCCTGTGAGTCACAAATCTCTGAAATTCCCAAAGTAGGCAGCAAGATCAAGTGGTCAAAAATAATACTGACAAAAGTCACATGTGTATGTGGACCCATTAACAAAAGTCTTTCCACCTATTTTATCCTTTGTGATGGTGAAAACCACCAGCCACGGGGCCAGCTCCATGGCACAGAGGGTTAATCCTCTGCCTGTGGCGCCGACATTCCATGTGGATGCCGGTTCTAGTCCAGGCTTTCCCTCTTCCAATCCGGCTCTCTGCTGTGGCCTGGGAGAGCAGAAGATGGCCCAAATGCTTGGGCCCCTGTGCCCACATGGGAGACCAGGAAGAAGCTCCTGGCTCCTGGCTTTAGTTAGGCGCAGCTCTGACCATTACGGCCATCTGGGGAGTGAACCAACGAAGGGAAGACCTTTCTCTCTGTCTCTCTCTCTCTCACTTTTTGTAACTCTACCTCTCAAATAAATAAACTTCTTAAAAAAAAAAAACATACTGGGTGGGCCCTGTGCAGTGGTTTAAGCTGTTGCTTAGAATGGCCACATCTCATTATCAGAATGACAGTTCAAATATTGGCTACTATTCTGCCAAACCACCTTCCTGCTAATGTTCCCAGGAGGCAGCAGATAATGGCTCAAGTACTTGATTCCCTCCTGCTCACGTGGGAGACCTGGAGGAAGTTCCTGGATCCTAGTCTCAGCCTTGGACAGCCTCGTCTCTTGCAACGATTAGGGGAATGAAACACCAGATGGAAGACCTCTTTCTCTCTCTGTCCTCCTGTCTCTGCCACTCCACCTTTCAAATAAGTGAGTAAAGAAATCTTGAAAGTGCTACACAAAGTGCAGATGCAGATGTCACTGGTGACCTCAAAGTGGAATGTGACCACTCAGGATGTAAGAATAGGTGGAAGTTCTGACTGCAAGCAACCAGTAGTTCTTCCTCAACTTGTCATATCAAAGTGCACTGGGTCGCACTCATTGCCCGGTCCATCTCCGCCTCGTACCCATGCATGCACAGGGTAGGGACTCTGAGAGCAGTCTCAGTTCTCAATGCCTTCCCTTGTGCCACTGAGATGTCTTGTTTGCTGAGGCACAGTGTTTAGTGTCTGATGTGACATCCTCAGAGATCAGGATCAGAGATCATGGACCTGGCCTTCATGGACAGGCCAGGAAGGGTCAACCTCAGAGAGCTCAGGTTGAATGGGGAGAACCATACCTCTAAACGTTCCACCTTTCCTCCTCCTCGTGGCTCCGCCCCGATCCTGAGAACAAAGGAAACAGTGAGAGGCTGGGACTCGCTTCTCTCACTTCTCCCTCTAGGGCTGATCCAACATTATTTAGCAATCCTACACGCTCTACTTTACCAAATGAATATTTATTCCTTTGTTTTTTCCATTGTTCAAGGTGATCAAAGATTTTTCAACTACTCTTTCTTTGTAAAACTGAAAGAAGGATGGTGTCTCTGGGGTCCACCTCGGGTGTCCTCACAGTCTGACGACCCCTGGTCAAGGAGGGCACAGGATCCGTGGCCAGCAGTCCCCCCTGTGCTCCTCAGAGGTCGCTGTGTCTTGGGGACAGAGCTCAGGCTCCAGCCCCTGCTCGGAGGCTCTGCCAGGCTCAGCCCGACAGGAAGAAGCCTTGATGGAGGGACCCCTGACATGGGAATGGGACGGAGACAGAGCCTCTGCTCCTCCAGAGAACCCAGCTCTCAGGTGAAGCCAAGGCAGGACTGCAGCGTCACCGTGTCTGGGATTGTGTCCTGGGCAGCCTCCACCTGGCTCTCTGAGAGCTTCAGGTGGAAAGCGCAGTCCTCCCTAGACCCCTGTCCCTGCCCAGTCTCTTCCCCTGCAAGAATGAGGTCCCGTCCTCTCCTCACTTCCCTTCTGCGCCATCTCTGACCCAACCACAGTCCTGTAGACACGTGGGACTAGAAGCAGGGAGCAATGACAAGCCATCTCTCCTGGGGGTTCCCCCATGGTTCCCTACCTTGGTTGGTAACCGCAGGTGGCAAAGGTAGAGAAGCAGCAGCCCCACCACAATCAGAAAGATGCAGCTGGGGACAGTATCCAAGTACACAGAGCAGAAGCTTAGCCAGGGCTCAGCGTGGCTCTTCAGAAGCCAGAGAACCTTCTCCATTGCGGGAACCGCATGGCCGCCTGTGGCAACTGAGTTCTGAGAGTGTGCAGGCTCCACCTGAGTCCCAGGCCTGCATCACAGAGTGTGGGAGAGTCACAAAGGGCTTGTGAAAGGTGGGGAGGGGGACAGCACGAGGAGGCCCTGCCACTGTCCCTCCCCCACCCACAGGCTTCGGATCCCTCTGCCCAGCCCTGCCACTCTGTTGCCCAACTGCACGCTTCCTTCACACCATACGTCCACTTCAGTGAAATTTTTTGTCTGTTCCTTCTGCAACCCAAATGTGAACTAGACCCCCTTCCCGGCTTGCAGCCCTTGACTTGGGCTCCACCAATGCCACGACCTTGAACGTCTGAAACACTGCCAGGGGTTTTTGCCAGCAGCCACACATCTACACTCAGAGGATCACATACATCCTCAAGTCCGTCTGACCTACACAGTGTGTGTGCCTTACGCTAACCCAGACATAAACCTAACACTCTTTTCTGCGTATTTATTTTTAAAGGCATTGAACAGTGAGTTTCTTTTCAGTCAGCATTTGCTGTGTTCAGTCAGAGGTGCTGACTCAAAACATTGAAACTATTCATTCCTATTCAACACTTAGCAAACTAAAATGAGAATAAGATAAATATATATGAATAAAACCTCAAGGAATCAGGTAAAGTTTTTTTTAAAAAATATTTATTTTATTTATTTGAAAGGTAGAATTTCAGAGAAGGAGAGAGAGAGAGAGAGAGAGAGAGAGAGAGAGAGAGAGGTCTTCCATCCACTGGTTCACTCCCCAGATGGCTGCAATGGCTGATCCAAAGCCAGGAGCCAGGAGCTTCTTCTGGTCTCTTATATGGGTGCAGGGGCCCAAGCATTTAGGCATCCTCCACTGTTTCTCAGACCATAGCAGAAAGCTGAATCGGAAATGGAGCATCCAGGACTCGAACCAGCGCCCGTAAGTGCAGGTGGTAGCTTTACCCACTACACCACAGTGCTAGCCCCAGGGAAAGGTTTATGGCACTTATTTTTCTGAAGCTAGTGAACCTCAATCTTTACAAACATTTTAATAGAAAGTTTGATATGCATCAAAATGTAATTGTACTGAATACATTGTTTCTTTTCCATATTCTGATGAACACTACTTCATTATGGAGCTAGTGACTAACCAGAATGTTTGTGCAATTCGACAGATCAGTAATGCTTGCTGGTGATCTGGAGAAAGCCAGTTGAAGTTGCAAAGTCCTGTGACCCTCCCCTGTCAGCATGACCAGATGGCTGTGTTTATTGTAACAGAATACAAAGGAGTATGGAAAACTAGGGAAAGTGAACCCGGGTTCTAGATTGAGCAGGCTTCATCTTGATTAATGAAACACTAGAATCTCTTAAAACAATATTTTGCTTTTTTCAGACCTCACTCAAATAATGTTTTGTAGCTACTCGGTTGTGCAGAACGTCCTGGTAGCCACTCCCCATGATTAGATCAAGGGGTCAAGCAGGTTTCCCAAGGAACTGCACCCACGACCTCTGAGACATCTGTTATCAGACCTGCACCAGCTTCAGCTCCTGGCTGTGTCCTCCTCATGTGTCACTCGTCACATCCTCAGCAACCCACCCTCCCTTTCCCACTCTCAAAAGCCTCCCAGTGCTCTCACTGAGCAGGACAAAAGCCGCGGAGATCTTCTGTCCGCTGTCATCCCCATCTGCCAGTGGATTGGACTTTCCTTTACCCTCAGAGCTTATGCTTGTTATTCTGACTTGTCACTGTCGACAGTGCTGTGACAGCTGTCCTCTGAACTGTCGCCTATCTTCCCACTACTTTCTTGAACTGTGAGAGCCTTTGTGTGTTGCCTGCGATGCAGCACTATTATCTGAGCTCTTTAGAGGGCTACAGCAGCCTCCCTGTCTGGCAGTCTCCTTTCAGTTATGCAGGAACAGGTCACTTCCCCCCCAGGAAGAGAAGGGGAGCCCAAGAGGTGTCACCTCCTTTCTTTGATATGCATCCTCAGCTAAGTTTGTATTTAATACATAGTTACTGCTGGCAACTAGGTGAGGCATGGATCTCTAAGTCAGTGGCCTGCCCTTTGGGTCAAATGGTGTGGTCATAGATGGACATCCAACACAACTTGAGATCCATATGAATTAAATGTAGAGAGCTCCCTGCCCCTCAGCTTTGTTAATTGCCAGTCATCTCTGGACTAGATCAGAGACTGTAGGTTTTAAGGGCTCCAACACAACCTGCTCCTGAGCTGGGCATCCTGGCTTGTCTACCCTCCTAGATTTTCTTTTACTAATAATGATTCTCTGACAGTCAAAGAACAGCTATTCTCTTTGTAAATGACAATCTGACTAGACATCCTTTCATAGATAGGTGTGCCTAGAGTTACAGCCCACGAGACATTTCAGTAAAAAAGGCTTTTCCCCAAATACTAGTAAGATTCCATTTCATAATCCTGTAAGAGTTCTTCAAAATTTCAAAGGACAAGAGGCTAAAAGTACAACTCTTTTTTTGAACCAATAGTAATAACCACTGATACTAAGTGGCACCGTTTACATATTATTATCAGCATTGCATAATACATCTATATGTCCTGGGCTGAAAATGTACAGCACTTGTGCAATGGGGCCAGCATTGTGGGGCAGTAGGTTAAGGCTCTGTCTGCTGTGCCAACATCCTATATCGCAGTGGTAGGTTCAGACCCAACTTCTGATCCGGCTTCTGGCCAATCAGCCTGGGCAGTTGCTAAAATGATGGCCTAAATACTTGGGCCCTTACCACTCAAGTGATGACCGGGATGGAGTTCCCATCTTCCGGCTTCAGTTTGGGCTTTTGCTGGCATTTGGATTTTGAATCAGGAGATGGAAAATCTCTCTCTCTCTCTCTCTCTCTCTCCCCTTTCTCCGACCCCATCTCTATCTCCCTGTGCAGATGCTCTGTCTTTCAAATAAATAAACCCTTAAAATGTAGTTAATATCCACTGTTTCCAGCAAATGCTGAAATATGTGAGGGAAAGCCTCTTTTGGTTCCCGTCACCTCTAAAGTAACTTTTCCCTCCCACTGTTAGCAAGGGCATCTCGATATTTCTTCTCTATCATTCTCTTAATATCTGCTTCCAAGAACTATCCGTATGACTGCCAATAAGGTATAACTGAATCGGCATTTAAAATGTCACCCTCCCAGGAGTACCCTTCACCTCTAAGCCTCAGATATGAGCTCTCACAGAGCATTGCCGGCAGCCAGCATGGAGGAGGTGGCTTCCATAGGGTGAGGTCTTCACCACCCATGACTTCTTCCCAACTGACCTGTGCCACCATGCACAAGCCTGGTCCCGGGTTCACCACCCCTTTGTCTGTATTGTTGCCAATGATCAGTATTTTCCAGAAGCTCTCCTAGAGTGATATGCTACTAGCTGAATATAGTGCACTTGCACTTTTATTTACAAATTTGCCTTTTCCATCGTTTATTTTTACTTCACCCCGATCAGAAGGTGGAGGTAATTTTTGTTTTGCCACTGATATATTCTCTGGACATAGCCTGCAAAACAGAAAAGAGAACCTGGCATTTGCTAGTGGTCAGTTAATTATCCTGACTGAATGAATAAACATGTGCAAAAATGAATGAGTCCTTGGGGATTCTGAATTGAGGACTGATACAAAAAGGAAGGTGGGATGGCTGGGACAGATACTTGGAGAGCAGTATTTGGCACCCCGTGGTTTCTAAGTTTTTGTTTATTTAAGTGGTTTAACGGGAGAGTTGAGAACTACTTGAGGGATACACAGCATCAAAAGAGCATAAGGCATTTTATAGAGTTCTTTTTGAATGTGTACAAATATTGAAAATATATGTTGGGGCTGGTGCTGTGGCGTGGTGGGTAAGGCTGCTGCCTGCAGTGCCGGCATCCCATATGGGCACCTGTTGGAGTCCCGGCTCCACTTCCGATCCAGCTCTCTGCTATGGCCTTAACAATTAACACTCTAATTTATGATATCGGTCATCACCTGAGGCTCTCTTGATATGGGCTGCCAAGGCTATGGAAGTCTTTTGTGACCATAGACTCCATCAGTATTTGGACATGGCCATAAGCAAAATTCAGAGAAAATTACATCCTTTGATGGCCCCTTCTTTCCATTGGGGTCTCACAGAGATCCTTCGTGTAGGGTATTTTTTGCCACAGAGTCTTGGCTTTCCATGCCTGAAATGCTCTCACAAGGACTTTAATTTTTGATGTTATACATAATACTATGGTTTTCTCTTAAGAGATAAAATCATCATCTCATCCTTTTTCAAATTCTTTGGACCTCCTCATATTTCATAATAAGGACATTTTTACCTATTCCTATGACAGTTACTATGTGTCCCTAACAGAAACCTCTTCTGAAGCACAGAGCAACATTTACATCTCACAGAAACTGAGACTATTGATCACATCAAGTTCAAGCTATGTCACAGAGGTGGTGCCCTTTCAATGTACATGTGAGTGTTTTTCCTCTAGTTTTAAAAGAAAATCATTGGGTCCAAGCACAGGAATTATGGGGTCAGATGGAGGGCAAGGGTGTCAGGGTTGTGGGTAAGGATCATTCCAGAATGTGGCCAACAATAAGACCAAGAAGAACTATCAGGGAGAGAAAGAAGAACATGGTTACTGGGGACAGGGTGGGTGCTTTTCAGTGAGGACCCAAGGTGGTTCTGAGGGCCCTCCTCGCCGAATACCATCCTTTGCCGGTCAAGAAATCACTTCCGTTGTGGTGTAGTGAGAGCTACGAGAGCTAAATGTGCTAAGAGAACTAAACAAAGCAGGGTGAAACCCGCAGTACCAATTTCATAATTTACATTGAGAAAGCAAGTCATGAAGTAGAACACTGCTGTCACCAGCATTTCTCCCTTCTGGGCAATGGCACACAAAAGCCCCTATCTGCCTGTTCACTTCCCAGATGCCTACAAGAGGTCCAGGCTCAAGTTAGGAATGAAGTCCAGGTCTTCTATGTGGGTGGCAGGGACTGAAGACAGTGGCACATATTTTATTTTATTTTATTTTTTTAAGATTTATCTATTTGAAAGGCGGTTAGAGGCAGAGGCAGAGAGAGAGAGAGAGGTCTTCCATCCACTGGCTCACTCCTCAAATTGCTGCAATGGCCAGAGCTGTG